CTGAATTTTAATTACTTCATTAGTTAGTTCATGTTCTTACCAGATTTTGAAAAATGTATTCTTTCTTCAGAAAATGACGAGAGGTATCCAGCAACACACCTCTATGGCGGAAACGAGGAAAATCGCTAATTTCAGTAATATTCACAACAAACTATGGAAAAGAAGTTCAAGTATGTTTATAAAGCACTTCAGAACATTTCAGAAAAAGGGGGGGGGGGGGGAAAAAAAAAAAAAAAGAGAAAAAATTAATTTTAATTTTTTTTATTAAGTTTAGACTAATAAAGTTTAGATATACAAATTATGCCAACCTCTCCAGTGTTTAATTGATAGATTAACTGACTGAAGGTTTCCAATCCTCTCAGAGCTCCCCATGTTTCATTAGATGTCAAAACTGCTCCACTAGCAGATATAGACAATTTATCTGTAACAAATAATTTTAATATCAGCTTAATAAATATATGATTCATTAACCATCATACACGTTACACAAAGCTTTTAGAAAAAGAAAAGTTACTAAAATTTTAAAGAAAATGGTGGACAGAAAACTGACACACAGTGCTTGCATTGCAAATTCAGGAAAGTAAAGCATTATATCTAGATAAAATATTGGGGATTTTTCTTGGGCAGAGACCTGGAACTGCTAGTATAATTTACAACCTTAACCTCCTGTCCAGCTGCATGGGTTAAATAGTTTGGGGGATGTCCCTAGCCCTTGTGAAAATGTCCTTGGAAAAAATGATTTCCTTACATCCCAGAATAAGCATAATATGGTTTATAATTTAAATCACTGATGGGATGCACCCAGTGCCAGCTGTGACCACAGTGACTAGCTTGTGCCCGACTAAATGCTCAATTTACTATAAAATGCAAGGGAACCCAAATCTTATATAACTCTGCAAATGAAACAGACTCAATGCAAGGGAACCCAAATCTTATATAACTCTGCAAATGAAACAGACTCAGTGACGATGTAAAATTTCACTTAGAACAAGCAGAGCCGTTGTGAAGGCATTGCAACCCCCTATGGCTGTAGGGGGCCTCAGCTAACAAAGGGGACCCAATTTGTGATGTTGAAAAAAATGAAAAATAAATTCTTCCCATGCAACAAAAGTAAAAGGAAAGCTTGATTTTTTTTAAAGGTAAAGGGGGGGGGGGGAGGAAAAAAAAACGGAAAACCAATTTTTAACTGGAAACACATTTTTTATCCCCTTTTACTTTTATGTAATATTAGTACTTAAAAAAAAGAAACAATGGCTAAATTCTACATTCATAGAAATATGGGGATAAAAAAATCAAACAAAAAAAGATGATTAAAATATCAAAGTTATCTTAAAAGTCAGCATAGACTGATGTTTTTTGATGATGAAGTGATGATAGAATTCAGTTGGCTAATTAGACTTCCTTGGCTAAAAAAAGAGCACAAGTTAAAAGATAAAATAATGGAAGATTAACTTCAAGATTAACTTTAAATGCACCTTTTATAAATAAAAAGGTAAGTAGACCTACAGTTTAATTCTTGACAAGTTCAATAATGACTTTAAAATGTTTCAATGTTAATTTTATTGATATATGGTAATGTACTCCATAGACTTTTTTTTACTTCATAGAAATTAGATCAACACTGAAAATGAGCTGCCATTAATGCAAATTGATTGGATCAAGAGTGCTTTTAACTTGTGAATTAAAAAATACAGTTTCCAGATCCTATTTTTTGTACTGTTTGGACCTTTAAAATAATGTTTCCTTTTAATACTAACAATATACTTAAAAACAAAAGGACTGAACATAACTTTCTATTTTCTAAAGCGTGCAATGTTTCTCTTTGAGTGAACCATTAAATAATTTCAAAATGTTGAATTTTTATTTGTTTCCTCTTTAAAAAAAAATTAAAAATTAAACGATCACCTTTGAATGAAGGGGGCCAAAAACCTAAAAGTGGCAGTGGGGGCTCCAAAAGTAATGCGACAGCTTTGAGGTTACAAGAATGGTACTTTTACTTTTAAATAATTTCAAATAAAACTAGTAAACATTTTTTTATAACACGAGTTAGCTACTGACATGATTCATCTGAATCAAAATTAGGGCCTCCATTGCATCCTCTTCTAGAATTCACAGATAGAGTGTTGAGTAATGATTTAGGATTTTTGTGCTTTGGCCTGAACCGCAAGGTCCTGCAAAAAAAGAAAATAGACAATGGATTTTTAGCATATAAAATGTCTTATACTTATACAAAGTTTTAATCTCTGTTTCATGATAATTCACCTGAACAAAATGTCAACATTAGCAATTTTAAAACTTAATAAACAATTAAAATAATCAGCCAATTAATATGTAAATTACAGTGTAGATTAAAAAGCCCCCTATTCACCAACTTAGCCAACTTGTGTGGCTTGAGTCTCTTGCCAAACGTTATTCAAGTTATTCAAATACAACTTACATTTTACACTTGATTTTTAGAAATAATTCCTGGGATGCATTGATCTCCTTCAATTCTCTTAAAATAATTTATCCGTAATCTTATGTGGCCTTTTAATCTATAGACTATAGTCCAGTTATAGGCTCATTATGAATTATTATGTGAAGTTTTCAATTTTAACAAAATTAGGTCACAGGCTACATAAATTAATAAAATAAAGATACATGCATAGATATAACAACATTTTGTAGCTTCAGTCGGAAATTCACTACTAACCAACTAACTAAATAAAGAAAAACTTTATTAAAAGACAAAGAAAGTGGACTCATTTTTTTCATATTCATGATTCAGATTGATTCACTTACCCAGACCCAAATTTTGCAACATCGCCAAATATTAATTTTGCATATCTTTTGTATGCATCTGTTAATAAGTCACAATTAACTCCGATGTTAATAAATCTGAAGTTAACAGCATCTAAAGTAATGAAAGCATCCGTTGGAACGTATGATTGTGGCAGAGGCCATGGCTGCCCTTGTGTTTTCTGATTTGCGGAGTCAGAGACTCCACTTATTTTGTCTCCTGTAGGAGTTAAGTAGTGGGCATTACTGATCGTAAGCAACGTAAAGAACAAAAATATAAATATCTGCTTTCCATTTAGAAAGTAATATGAATCACCCATTTTCTAGTTTTCATGAGCATTACATGTGACTTAGAATAAAATTTCAAGTCTAACACCACAACTACAACCCAGTAAATCTACAGAAAACACTTATTTATATTTCCCTGTAATCACATGGTTGTCACGTGACTCGTATTAAATATTCGCAGGGGTCATGGTAACGTAACTAATGCTTATGCTTTCGTCACTTCTAGAATTTATATTTCGATTTTGTAAGATTCAGTCTCTGCAAAGTTACTAAAAAACAGCTGTTATAGAGGTCTTTTGGGGAGGAAAGATACCATTTCGATTAGATGTCCGAAATAATATGGTTTAAATCTAAGAGATTAATAAGACACAAACAAATTGTGTCAATAGAACAATATGAGTTAGCTTTATCGCAGTCCAACACTTTTTATAATTAATTATCTAACTGACAAAGAAGAAATAAGTGTGTGACTGTGACAGTGTTGAGTGAGTGATGTCCGGTATGTGACGTTTTGGCGCAGAGCCGTTTTGGCGCCATTTAAAAATAACTTTTTATTTATTTAACTTAACGTTTATAAACTTTGAATAAAAAATCATCAAGTATCTTAGAGTTAGAGGACTTGCCCATAATTTTTTGATGGAATAATATAGACGGTCTTTCGGAAGACTTATTAAAGGTACAAGATTAGACAGGATTCATTAACTATTATTAAGTTGTTATAATTTTGCATTTGCTAAAGGTTAAATATTTCATGGGACTAGTAACTCGTTAAACGTTTCTTAATTTATATATTTTGCATTCTCTTTATTAAAAGTTTATAAACGTTAAGTTAAATAAAAAGTTATTTTTAAACGTTTCTTAATTTATATATTTTGCATTCTCTTTATTAAAAATTTATAAACGTTAAGTTAAATAAAAAGTTATTTTTAAACGTTTCTTAATTTATATATTTTGCATTCTCTTTATTAAAAATTTATAAACGTTTAGTTAAATAAAAAGTTATTTTTAAATGGCGCCAAAATGTCCTGCGCCAAAACGGCGGCGCCAAAACGTCCTGCTTCGAGTGTTGTTGAGAATTTGTACATGAACATGGCACTCGCGAATTTTTTTTGGTCACATACGCGCACACCCCATTCCCGACCTCCAATGAGTTCCTGAAAATCCGCTAACCTCAAAATTTTGAAGTTAAGTCCCGGTGGGGGGGGGNTTTTTCCCCCCTCCCCCCTTGCCCAAAAATAAAAACCCCAAATATCTGCCCCCCCCGCCCCCCCCCCCCCCCCCCCCCTATAAATCCCTCCGTCAACTACTGTCCTTTTATACAGCCCTTAAAAAACCCACCTCCTATGGATATCGAATTACTGCACCTGTGTGGGTGAGGCAGGCCAAAGCCCTACATGGACTTTTCCACAGGGATGGATGGATGGATACACCTGGGTCAGAAACATTTCCCTAGAACAGTGGTTCTCGACCAGTTTTAAAAGTACCCCATGTGGTGCGGAAGACCCCAAACATAAATTCATTTACTGCCATTGCTAGTTCTCGCATGTAAACATAAATTAAGTTTTTTTGCAATTTGATTAGCCGCAGTAAAAAAAAATTTTCTGGTGAATTTTATTGGCGCATAGGCCTATAAACTTGTGTTGGCATTTTTGCTGTTTCTATAACTTTGATACAAAAATAATAAAAACCGCAATAACTAAATTGTAATTTTTAAATTTTTATTACAATATAATTTATACGAGGGGGCTGTGGGATATTTTTTAAAAATTGAGAGGGGACACAGCGCTGCAAAATGGTTAAGAATCCCTGCTTTAGAACATGTATTAAGATCAGCACAGTCAACTATGTTCCGTTCCATCTCACTTCATTTGAGGCGGCACCTATCCAAGCAAAGTTACAGAACCCACCCCTAATCCCTTACTCAGACATCCCAAATCTCTTACATAATACCTATCAATCCCTTAACTTATGAATAAAGTTGTATGCACCCCCACCCCCCTTTTCCCTCGGCCATTATAAAGGTACACCACTTGTAAGCCCAAGATTACATCTGAGTTTAAGATAACTCTGAAAGTGAAGAGTTCAAGGTCTGTATTATCTTATCTGTGTATACTGCCATTTGAAACAGTTTGTATTAGAGATTTAAGATGTAATTTAAAATTAAAAGAATAACTATCAATAAGGTCAACTTTTAAGGGTGATTGACTTTTGTGCCTCAAAGTGTTCATATAATCAGGTTGTAACTAAAAAGTAACAGATTTTTTTCACAGAGATAGTTTTATTATAGATTAATTCATTACTCATCCTTGAAAAAAAAATGGTTTAAATCTACTAATAAACAAATAAAATAAAAAATATATTCACATTTTGTTTGAAAAGATTATTAATAATTCATTTTATTAAATGCACTCATGCCTGATTTATTCATTATAAAGCAAAGACCCATTTAAAAAAACAAACAGGCAGTATCAGGGGTTGGACTGAGATAAAGACCAACACTTTTAAAAGTTATGCCTAACATTTATGTCAAAAACAAAATAACTGCAGGCCCAAAAGAAATAGAAAGACGTTAAACACCAAAGTGATGTTTATTGCAAGTATAAACTATGATTTTTTTGCGGTTAAGTTGTTAGTTACCTTAAAGAACCTTTGCAATAATCAAACTGATACATTTATATAACCTGATTATGGACAGATTTTCATGTTAAAAAAATTATTTCAGAAATAAAAACTGCACCAGATTACATTATGTTTTTCAGAGTGCGGTTGTGATTGCAATAGTTCAAATAGAATATTAAATAACTTATCCTAAGTAATCATCAGTGGACGTCATTTAAAAATTTGAAACAAATAATTTCTTTACAACAATATTTTATGATTTATTGCAAGCATAATTACAAGACGTAAGTGTACAGTAAATTTCATTGATCATGTCGCACTACAACATTATGTACATAATTCGACAGTTATGATATTGTCTCACATTCTACAAACATCGTGAAATGCTTCACGACTGCGGTAATCTCGCCATGTGGGAGGCATATTATTCTGTAGATATTTCCCACATTTTTGACAAGGTGCAGAGAATAAGTTGGAGAAACCTCGTAACCACAGCTGCAGAAAATATAGAAAATTTAAACAAATTATGGTTAGTTCACAATTTGTCCTTAAGAATTTTCACGTCAATATTAGTAATGTAATGTAATTATTAGTATTATTTCAGTGCATGGTGTCAGAACGGTCAAGACACAAGGCAAATACACAGTGCCACTCAAATTCAATTCATAGCCATATGCAAATGTAAATGCTAAGTAACAAATAAAAGCTTTTGTAAGAAGTATTTCAATATCTTTTAAATATTCATTGATTACTTTTGCTGTTTATTGATATTTGTTTTATTTCTCTTTTAGCGGATGCATTATTACTTTGTTCTTTATATTATATATTATTACCATCATTTACGGTGTGCATTTTATAGAATTGCACTCTAGTATTAAAAAAAAGCATCAATTAGAATGAAATTTTACATTCTTATTTTAAAATGTAACCATTTTATTACAGAAATAAAATCCCATTTGCCGTTTAATGACACTTTGTGTAATGACACCTCGGGTTTGTCTTGCAAGACACAGTTATATAAAAATAGATCAAAGGGCATAAAGATGAAAGGTTGGGAAGAGACACAGGAAGTGTGGATTTTAGTGGCAGAAAAAACAAGCCAAGAATCAATAAATATCCATCCAGTTTCCCCAAATTGATTAGATTAAATTTCATAATTTATCTGAACACCACAGTTGAAATCTTAATAGATAAATATATATTACATGTTTCAGATTCATTCTTCGCAGCTGCAACTAAAATGTAAAACTGATGCTATTTTTGCATAGACATCCCATTTTAACACCATTGCAAGTTGAGTGCTGTCTTCCAACTTTAGTGGAAGTGATAATTTAATTAATTTTTTCCTTGGGATTTATCTCCTCCCAAAAATAACTGCATCATTCTAACCCCGCTATTCAATCTTAGCTGAGGTAGAACCCAAAATATATTTTAACCTCTTGGTCAAGAGGTATACATTATGATTCCATTACAGTGCCAACAATGCACATATCTGGTGCAGCAAAATTATACGAGTGCTTGAAAATACTTCTTTCACAGTACTTATTGCAAAACAAGTAACAACACTCTACAAACCACAAATGACTTGATGGCTATTTCTGGCATCAGTGGAGCATAATAGTGTAAAGATGCTGCTTCTGCATGATGTGTAATCTGTTGTCAAGAAAATAATTTAGCGAAATAATGACAAGACAAGTGTCATCTTGAGATTAGAGTAAATATATGGTATGCATATTTCATAAATACAAATGGGAAGTATGGCAGCAATACAAGCTTTTAGACATTAGTCTTAGGAAAGATATCCGAATTAACACTTCAATCTATAATCAGCATACCTTTTGAAAAACTTGGTATCTTGAACCAGACCACAGATCCATCTGTAATAAGTTTCCATAATTTATCATACAATAACTTCAAATTAATAAGCTAAATTTTCTAAAAAATATATCTCACAGTGCAGGTCAAAGATGCATATTCCAAATGGTGCCTGGCTATTTAAAAATTATTAATTATAATTGTAAATTTTACCTGGCCATCATCTGTTTTAAAAGTTTCGTCATAACCTTTTACTTTCACCCACTCAATAGTGAGACCTCTTAAAACCACGATGGCTCGAAGTGTCCGTCCCAGTTCAATCTTTTATTAAATAAGAAATTGAAAATATTTTCTTAAACAATGTTTAGATAATAAGGACTCAAATAAATCATTGTGGTACATTAAACTATAGTGAACACATTTTAAAAAGATACATTTTGTAAAATCAAAACAGCTGAGTAAACATGTGTTATACTCTCAGTTTAAAATATTGTTTTGAAAAATCAGGATGAAAGTAAGAAAAAATTGTAGACTATCAAGCTCCATATTATTCAAAAATACCTGCATGACACCACAACTTCCTAAAGGTCTTGACAGTGAAAATTTTGCATCAGGATTGTTCTGATTTAACTGTGTTACCAATTGATCTATTGCACTGAAATTACAGCATTTTAAAACATGATTTTCATGTCTTGATATTACACATTTACGTCAGTACAAAATAAATTGCTTTTAAGAAAATGGTGTACCTTTTCAATATATGTGACTTCCAATATTAAATAAAAAAATGTTCAGAGAACTTCTTGATAATGTTAAAAAAAAATAGTTTTTTAAAAACTTGTATAAAAAGACTTGCTATCAAACACAAGTTTAAACCAATAAAAATGTAAAATTTCTTAAAATGCATTACACAAAGAAACACTGTAGAAGTGAAGATGAGCACTCTACCACAGCCAAAGGATTAGAATTGAATGTAGAAGTAACTTTAATGTTTTATTTTGTATACATTTTTGAACATATTTTCTGCACAGATTTTCCTTGCATAATGCATTTTAAGTAATGTTTAATCATTTTCTCTTTTTTAGTGGTTTAAAATAATCTTTGATTAGAAAGTCTAATATTTTTTATTTGCTAATTTTTAATATTAAAATTTTAATTTTTTTCTATAATCGACAAAAGAAGTATAATTTACTTTTTAAAATCCCCAAAATCCTACAGTTCTCATATGACCTACCCTACACACACCCCCCCCCCCAACTTTTCCCTTAACGAAGCAGAGACTGAGTTGCCATCTTTCAGGTGACAATGAGACAGAAGATATGTAAACAAAAAAGTTACCCTGGAAAAAATAGAAATTTTAATATTAAAATTTTAATTTTTTTCTATAATCGACAAAAGAAGTATAATTTACTTTTTAAAATCCCCAAAATCCTACAGTTCTCATATGACCTACCCTACCCACCCCCCCCCCCCCAACTTTTCCCTTAACGAAGCAGAGACTGAGTTGCCATCTTTCAGGTGACAATGAGACAGAAGATATGTAAACAAAAAAGTTACCCTGGAAAAAATAGAAATGAGAGTAGAAAGAAAGTCTTTGAATAGAGCTCTTTCCTATTTCCAAACATTGCCACAGAGTTTTGCAGTTTCCATTCAGACTATAAACAGCTTCCAGCCCTATGAAATATATTTTTGTTCTTTCTGTTTTACTGTTACATATTCAGCTGTGGAAATCTTTTTTGGCGAAAAGTTAATTGTATTTGGTTTGTCTTCTTTCAAGGTTCCTTGTGTTCCTTTTTTCAAAAGTTTTATCACAATGAGATAGATATTCATAATGAAGTAACCAGTATACTCATTGGAGTACATTGAAAAAATTGTATATATGATGAACAAATTAATTAAAAGATAAGGAACAAAGCATGACCAAAACCATTATTTTACATAGCTGTGATATAGATTTTACATAGTTTCAATGCAGTTTCATGTTATTTCTACATTTTAACTTCCACGTCATTTCTAGCTTTAAATTTTACAATATTGTTAAAATAAATTGGCTAGACTTCAAACTACATTTTTGCGATTCTCTGTATAAATTATTATAGATGAATATTGAAATTTCAGTATTCATTGATTAAGTATTAGTAAAGTTTATTAATATTCAGACTATCCATTTCTTTAAAAGCACACACTAATTATTTTTGTAACCCATAAAAACCTGCAGTGATGGTGAAGACAAGTTAACAGTGTTGAGTTAAGTATTCTAGAAACACATTCCGATCTTCTCAATCTTTTTAGTGAGACAGATAGACAGGAATTTATCTGCATTTAAACAGTTACTAATTTGTGATTATTTTCTTTTTTATCTTAAATTTTCCCTATTTGGGGACCAGCGGCTAAGTGCTTTTGCGAATCAGTAAGTTTTAAGTAGTGTTGGGCTAAAAAATTTGCAAGATATCATAACAATTATATACTTACGCTGGATTTGCAAGACAGGCTGCGAGTAAGTTTCCTTTCTGTCTTTTGGGATTTGTAAACTTGGGAGACTGGGTTCGTTTCAAAGTGTTCTGACTCAATATAGAGACAGCTTGATTAGCAAGTTCATGCATCTGTAACAAATCAAAAAAAAAATTAACTTCAAATGTATGAAAAGATTTTCATAGGCTGGACCTTGTGCAATATAAAATTAATCTGCATAAAATTAATCATTAATTTAAAATAAAATACATTTAAACTATATTTAATAAATACTTCTAATTTATTTGTTTTACCTAGGCATACTTAAAAAAAAAAGCTTTGCCTAAGTGTTCAGAATACTATAAAAACCTTGTTAGTCCACTTGTAGGACTGAAGTAACTGTGAATGTGTGACTGTATTTTTGTCCACTGGATCAAGACTGAGGTTGTCTATGTTGGAAAACATTTGAACTGGACCAATATTAGCTCCTGTTTTTTCCAAGTCACTGTAATGTTTTAAAGGTGTATCTTTGTTAAAAAAAAAGCATTTATAGTTTATGTATTTAAAAATATTATTTATTTTTTGATCCCAATTGATAGCAAGAAAAGACTGTGTGAAAAAAATCATGTAAATTTAAGAGAACAAATAAATATACACACTAGATGTTTGGGACTTTGAACACATCCAGACTTTAAACTGGGTCACAGCTTGCATGCATTCAAAACAGGGATAATTCATTGAAAAAAATAACAATTTAGAATGAAAATTAATTAAATTTACATTTTTTATGCACAGGCTTTTATATCTCTGTACAGGTTTTGAAAGATTTTTTAATACATATTTTGATCTGTGCCAAGGAAAAGAAGCCAGAATGATCCATAGACTGATCTTGGGCCCTTTATATATTGAGATGAAGAGCCCAGTTGAAGCTGGAAAAATGCTGCCTCTCAATATATAGAAAAAAACGGCAGCCCGGGCCGGACCAGTAATACGAAGATTTTGACTACTGTATATTCTCGCATACAAGCCTACATCGCATACAAGCCGACCCCCTAAAACTGCTTTAAAATGGCCAGTTTTTGCAAAAACCCGCATATATAAGCCGACCATACAATTGTCTAATTTACTCCATATTTTTGGTTCATAGAAATTTTTTACTGTAAAGATGTAAAATGTTTACTTTTATGTTACATACCAGTTTGTTTACCTTTTGGAATGACACAAAAACATATTCTTCTCTTTCATACTCTTTCATATAATTATCAGCTATGCATACATTAAATTCTTTGAAGTGACACCTCTGTATATATATATTAGTACTCTGTACACACAACCAAATAAAGAGTCAGATAGTGACGAAAATTTAAACTTCTTCAACTTCCCTCAGATCATCTTTTTCTTATCTTATGAGTACACCTGAAGATGTTGTTTTTTTGTGACAGCTAACTGTTACCTTTCAGAAAGTTGTTTGTTCCGAAATATTGTTTTTCAAAATCAAGTAGTTTTACACGAAAAAATAAATTGTTATAAAAACATTACTATTTAGAAACAATTAAAAATAAAGAATTTGTATTAGCGCAACCAGGTTAAGGGAACCTAAATCTCCATTGATGCTCTCCAAATTAGTGAATAATGATGGAAAACTAAATTCTGGATTTCTATGGGAGATACCTCCCACCACTTTCGTTCTGCAGCTTTGTGTACCCAAGATTTCTGCTCCCTCCCCATTCAAATTTACAATACCATCACCTTTTTTATATACAAAAAAATAATGGAAGTTAGTTATAAAAATGATTTTATTTAATTAAAAAAATATGAGTTTCATTTAATTTGGTCTATATAGTTGGACTATGTAGATTCTATTGGCCAACTAGGCTGGGATCAAAACCATGCCCCCAGTGCAGGGGTCCCAGCGGTTGCCACACCCAAAATGAATTTATCTTTTTACATCATGGGGGCACCGGAATCATAGATGGCCATGAGCATCATTAACCCTAATTGTGGTGCCTGAAATAATTAACCCCCCCCTCCCCCGATAAAATTGTTAAAACAATCACATATCATAACCCATATGCAAACCAGGACCCCAAGCTTTTCTTAGCATTATTTCAAAAGGTTAGAGAGGAATAGGGGGCCTCCAATGCAAGGGGCATCTAATACCCCCGCCTTGGTCAATTCTGTGGGTCATAGTATTGGTATTTTAACAATTTAATTTAAGAGGTCATTATGAATATAGGCCTATGAGTAATACAAAAATATGGTCATGTTGTCAGAAATGTGTCATCTCAGACTTGCTTGGTGGAACTAGTATTAATCCCATGCAGAAACAAAAATTAGGTTCACCAACGTTTTCTCTCTTGATGTTTTGTCACATTGAAAATTTTAAAAAATATTGAGTATTAAAACATTTCCATTTATTTGGATCAATAAAAGAATTTTATACATCTTATCAATGAAAGAATAATGCTTTAAATAGCATTTCAAACCCGAACAACATGATTTTTTAATAACCGACGCTGAAGTGATAAATTACCTTTATTGTTTCCTTTCAAATATTCATTTTGACACTAGAGAAATTATAAAGCCGGCAAAGGTGGAGGAGATTTTATTCCCTCTTACTTGGATTGGAAGCAACTGCTTGCTCCTCTCCCCCTCCCACCCCTTGAGTAGATCCCCCTGATCTGTGCATTAATCTGCCATGGGCCACCAATGCCTAAAAAAAGCCCAGCAGCTTAGCCCTAGATGATAAGGACTAAGGTGTTACTGAGGTCATTTATTTTAATTTACGAATTTTTAATATTTAATTGGGCTAAAACAGACAATTCGCATCATGACCTGTATGTGTTTATGTTAAGTTTCTGTGTTGGATTCACTCCCGCTTGTGTTGTTACTTGTTACTAGAGTCAACTAGAGTGTTGTTAATAAGACAATTAGAATGTTTTAAATTAAAATTTTATTGGTTGGTTAAATATAATATTTAAATTTTTGGTTGGTTAAAGTTAAATATAATATTCAAATTTTCTGGCATTTTGGAAAACGAGTATGCATTGTCAGTATTGATTTTCAGACAAGTTTTTGAATTTTTTTTTGGCTTTAACATGAAATAATGTGCGTAAAAGTTTATTCTATGAAACTGTAAGGTGGGTTTTCATTATTTCAAAATAATTTTGTATTGTTTTCCATCATTTTTACATTTTTCTTGACCACTGTAGCAGCACACATGTTTTAGTGGAGGGAAACAAGCATGTACTGGGTGAATTTACACGAGGAAAAGGAGCGACCACAGGTCATTCAACGCTTCTTGCCAAATATCTAGATGGATACATTTAAGTAGCTTCACTCGCCCCGAAATTTATGTACAGTCTGAAATTATTTCATTAAATTTAACGATTTGTTCCTATTTTTGTTTCTCTCACTCTCTGTAAATAGCTAATCCAGCATATCCTCTCCCTATTCATATCCTTCTCTCTTTTAGCAGACAAGACTGTCTTTTTTTATGGTCATGTGAAAGTCATGGCGCGGATAGTCCAAATTTACCTTTTAACTTTAATTGATCTCCTTTTAAAAATATTTGGCTAATATCGAGAGATCATCCCGTGACGTCATTTGCGTGTTTATTATAGTTCAGGGTTGCCAACTCAATAAAATAACATTTACTGACAAATATAAGAACTCTCCAACAAAATTTATGGACAAAAACAATTTTTTACGGACACATTTAACATAAATTTTTACCTTAAAACGAACAGCCTAGCTGTTCAGAAAGCTCTTACAGTTTATTAATAGAGCGCGGGATGCCACTAAAACAATTTAAAAATTAAACTTTGAATCAAGAAAATAGATATCACAAACATCATTTACTGGGTTTTTTAAACGTTGAGATTCCACGTTTTGTCGATTTTTTTACGGACGTCTTAATTTTTTTACGGAATTTTACGGACAGGCAATTTTACGACAAATCTTTACGGAGTGTCCGTAAATTTACGGACGTTGGCAACCCTGTTATAGTTGCAGTGAATTAGGGTTTAGGTTAGGTTGAGGGATCGATTTAGGGTTCAGGTTAGGTATAGTCATAGGGATCGATTTAGGGTTCAGGTTAGGCACAGTGTAGGGATCAATTTAGGGTTCAGGTTAGGCATAGGGATCGATTTAGGGTTCAGGTTAGGCATAGGGATCGATTTAGGGTTCAGGTTAGGCATAGGGATCGATTTAGGGTTCAGGTTAGGCATAGGGATCGATTTAAGGATAGGTTTAGTTAGTGACAGAATTAACTGGTTGTGTCAACCAAGATTAAGATGGTGGAAACCCCAGGCCCAGGGCGATCTGTTGAAATTTACCAAATATTTTTGTTCTTACCTGAAATCATGACTTATTGTCTCAAGAGACTTTTTTAAAGTTTTCAGTATTGTTCGATGTTTTTCATGTTGCTCTTCTGATTTTTCGTGACTTGAGCCCGTGGATTCTTTCTGGTTTTGTGAGGAAGATTTGTCCTTATTTCCTTCCGAGTCTTCTTTCTCAGGCAATTCTTCCACATACTCACTTATTCCATCTGATAGATCTTTGAAAACTTGACCAACTCCATTTCTTAATTTTTGAATCAGATGTAAAGATTGCAAAATTAAGTCTGCCTGCGCCTGCTCTAGATTCATTTTAAATTAATTTTTGCTAAGAATTAGAATGAGGTCTAGACTATCAACAATGTTTCGTTTACTCAACTTATGAAAAATGAGACCAAGGCTGCCACTCAATTGTTTCATAATTCCCAAGATTTTATCTAATATTTTCCCAAGATTTCCCAAGTTGCACCATTACAGAGTTTTAAAAAGGGGTTTTAAACTGATTAATTAATATCGCAGAAACACACAGTACAATAATTAATAAAATTATTTAATAATACTGTTTCATACAATTATGCAATAAAAATATAACGCAATTTATCAAAACACATTATAGTTAGGCTATAGCTATATAAAAATTAACCACCACATGCCCAAGTAAAAATATCCGCGAAATGAGTAATAGAATGCATAACATTTAAATTATTTGTAAATTTACATCAAATACGATCCTATCTTGAATAAAAATGCATATTAAAGCGATTTTGTTTGGTCAACAATTCACACCTAGATGGACTTTTAAAAAAATGTCTCAAATTTAGTACTTTTTATTACAATTATTAACTTTAAGAAGTTTTCTTATTTATTACTGTCAGTGACATTGACTTTAGAAAGTACAACCAAACTCACAGATAGAGATGGGAATCGAACAGAATCCAAACCGAATATACCGAACTCGAACCCTGATAACGACCGATCCCAAACCCAAACAAACCTTGCTTAAAAAACTGAACCCCAACCGAAGCCTGCTTATGACTGAACCGAACCCTGCTAACGGCCGAACCGAACTTCTAAAACTAAAAGAGGGTTTGATTCCCATCTCTACTCACAATATTTCAAAACTGGAAATTAATTAAATATTATTTTCCCTTGTTTTAAAAATAAAATATTTGGCTTTTATTTTTTAGTTTTATTGCTTTTTTTAAAATGAATTTTTAAACAATTTACTCTGATAAAATTTCACATGCCTATGATTTCACCTAATTTTCATTATTATTCCCCCGATACCAAACGGAGTGGTGAATTACTAATGTCTTGAAAAATTTCCCAAGGTCTGGTAACCGTACCATCGTAGTAAGCATTCTAAGAATGGTGTTTTTTAAATAATATTTTTATGCGTTGGGTACTTTGGTTGCCTAAAATTTCTTCGCGATTTAGTTTTTGGCGTTTTGAATCCTGTTTAGTCCAAGATCTGTTTTTAATATGCGTTTTCAATTGATCTATATTAAATTATCAGATTTAATTTCTCTTATATCATTTATTTAAATTAAGATCAGTAAGTTAAAATTTAAAATGCGATTTGAATATAAAAAGGATTCAAATAATATTAACAACATCGTGTTTAATCACCATAAAAATTGATAGGCCCTATATTTGGAAAATCAAAAGAAATCCCTGAAGATAAAAAATATTTAAATTGAAAAAATCTGATATAAAATTGTAATTTTTAGCGTGTTATTAAAAAAAATTGATCTTAGTATCGTCAACAACATTATATTTAATCTTTATAAACATTAATATACAGTGTGTGTGTGTGTGTGTATATATAATATATATATATATATATATATATATATATATATATATATATATATATATATATATATATA